ACGGCGCGTCACCAACTCGCGAGAAACCGACCAAAAAACACGCGGAGAAGCGAGAGCGCCGTGTGCATAAAAGGCTGTACGACACGCGGCCCACGACCGGAAACCTACAGAAACACACTGCCGCGCGCGCCCGGGAGCGATGCAGCAGGCGTCAGGAAGATAAGCAGGACAACGAGCGAGATAATGACCACTTCCTCCTTCTTCCCCTCTCCCTCCCTCTCTCCTCTGGCTCTCTGCCTTCCTCCTTTCCCCCTCTTTCCCTTCCTTCCGTCCCTCTCCCTTTCTTCTTCCCTTTCCTCGTTCCTCTCCCTCCAGCTTGCTTCAAGCTGGCTGGAATTTTGCCCTCCCGAAGGGAGGCATTAACCACCACCTTCACCCACTCGGGTGAGATTGATTTTCCTACAGTCAAGTGTGGTGGATGGTTATCGTTTCCTGCTCTGGGTTGCAACACTGCCAAAATGAAAATACTGTATATTCCTCGAGTATAAGCCTAGTTGTTCAGCCCTTTTTTTAGGCTGAAAAAGTCCCCCTCGGCTTATACTCAAATCAAGGTTATTTATTATTTTACTCTTATTATTATTATTATTATTATTATTATTATTATTATTTCATTTATTATTTTATTCTATTTATTACATTTATCATTTTACTCTATTATTATACATTTATTATTTTCCTGTATAATTGTTGTTATATTATTTATTTCCGTCACTTTTACCCCGCCCTTCTCACCCCCTAGGGGGGACTCAGGGCGGCTTACAGAGAAAGGCACAATTCGATGCCTTGTCACATATACATACATATATAAAAACAATTAAGCAATTACAAATTAAAATTAAATCATCAATACACAACAACACCATAAACACAGTAGTAGGCTAATCCTGAGCTCAGCGTTCGGAGTTCCGTAAATCCATTCCGTCTTGTCCAGTTCCAGCTCGTCATCAAGTCTTTCTTTAGCTGCCAGAATGTCCAAATGCCTGGTCCCACATCCAGGTCTTCAACCTCTTCCTAAATGAAAGAAGGGACGTTGCCGATCTAATCTCCCCGGGGAGTGAGTTCCACAGGCGGGGGGCCACCACCGAGAAGGCCCTGCTCCTCGTCCCCGCCAATCTCACTTGTGATAGAGGCGGGGTCAAGAGCAGGGCCTCCCCAGAGGATCTTAGGTTCCGAGGTGGGACGAATGTAGTTATTACTACATTCATTTTACTCTTTTTAGTATTATTGTTATCATTACATTCATTATGTTACCCTCCTTATTACAATTGGAAGGATATGTAAGCACATTTACACTGAAGAAGGTAAATAATCATTTAATCAGAGTTGGACAGTCTTATCTTAAATTACCATTTTTGTAAATATTCAAAAATATATACTCTACTGATTCCTCAACTAATGTAATTTAATTGGTGCAGCCAGTGTTTAAAAAGCAGGCTTTCTCTCCCTCTTAGGCCTACCTTGAAATGAACTTTAAGGAGGCGGTGATCGCGGCCGTCAAATACGCGGAAACCACTCCAGTCCTGGTGAACGAGAAGCACGTGAAGATAGAGGTGGCCGAAAAGTCCAAAGTGACTCCCAGTCAGGTGAGCAGAGGCAGGGGTTGGTGCTTGTTTCTGAGGAGCCAAAGGCAGTGTCCTCATCCCGGTTGGACCTCACTACCTCTGAGGATGCTTGCCATAGATGCAGGCGAAACGTCAAGAGAGAATGCTTCTAGAAAATGGCCATATAGCTTTTAAGGGATTCTTAGTCTGCAGCTTAGGGCTAAATGGCAAGCTTGTTTTCTGCTGCCCTGGAGACTAGGACACAGAGCAATGGCTTCAAGCTACAGGAAAGGAGATTCCACCTGAATATTAGGAAGAACTTTCTGACCGTGAGAGCTGTTCAGCAGTGGAACTGTCTGCCCCAGAGTGTGGTGGAGGATCCTTCTATGGAGGCTTTTAAACAAAGGCTGGGTGGCCATCTGTTGGGGGTGCTTTGAATGCGTTTGTCCTGCTTCTTGTCAGAATGGGATTGGACTGGATGGCCCATGAGGTCTCTTCCAACTCGAGGATTCTACAATCTATAGAGATTGGATGGTCAGGCTGCACGTTTAGCTGCAAGTCACCCCCAAAGAGCAATCGGGGAAACCAAAACCAGTGTCCAGCCCAGGATAATTAATGCCTAGAGATTGCAAGAGCTGCTGTTTGTTTTCTTGGGTAATAGTGGAGAATGGGGCTTGAAATGATTTATTTGTGGTGGTGGAGAGTTTGTACGCACGACCACGTTCATGATACGTAGAAGCCCTTCCTTGAGGAGAAACAGTAAATGTTTTATTTGAATTCCAGAGCAAAGGAAGCCAGAAGAGCACCAAGAAGCCTCCTCCGAGCACAAAGTAAGTGTGGCTCTGCCTCAGCCCAGCCTTTTCGCCATATTCCCTCCTTCCAGGTTTGTGTCTGTGTTGTTAAAGCCTATCCTTTCTTCTTCCTCTGCTTCTTTTTAGGAAAGACCAAACGAAGCCTGTGGCAAACCCGGACAAACCAACGGCTGCCGAAGCTGCTGCCTGTGAGTCAGATGCGGCTTTTCCCTCCCTCTCCTGATTCCTTTAGCTGCAGAGGGGAGGACAGTGTGAGGAGGAATGGGTCTGCCCTTCTCCTGGCCTGACACCCTTTTAAGCAAAGGCCTTGGTTGCACGTCCGTTGTATCAGGGCCACAAAGAATGTTTTAGGCCAGAGGGATGCGGGGGGAATGTCTGAATCAGAAAATAATCTTAACTCACAGCTAATTCAGCAAAGCTCAGCTTAAGCCTAACAGCAATGCGTTGGCAGAGCCTTGAAACCCTGTGAACAAATGCCATTTCCTCACTACAGCCAAAGCCAGCGATAAGAAGCCCGCCAAGACCCTTCCGAAGTCTGGGAAGACGAGCACAAGTGGGACTCAGAAGAAGCCTGCCGAGCCTAAAAAGCTTGCTGAGTCCAAGAAACCTGCCGAACCCAAGAAGGCTGCTGTCGATGCCAAGAATCCTGCTGTGAAACCGAAGAAGCCTCTGGATTCCAGGAAGGCGGAGGATGCCAAAAAACCCGTGAAGAGCAAAGTGGTGCTCCCCAAGAGATCCTCCAAGCATGAGAAGAAGACCGAGAAACCGAACCCTGCCTCAGGTACCCTTGTAAAGCACATGTAGTGGAAGCACCCCAGCTTCTGCACTGCCCTCACATCCTGCTGCAAAGAGCCATTCTGGCCTTGGAGAGCTAGCCAGGAGAGAGTTGACCGCTTCAGAGGTTGCTTCTGGGATCAAGGTCTAGGCTTTGGGTGCCAATCCCCTAGGGGATTGTTGTGTCTTGTGTCCATTTGGCCTTCTTTGGTGACAGGCCTCATGGGAGCGGGTGGGAGAAGAAGGTGCAGCAGAAGCAGGAGCCACCACAAGGGATGGTGGTGGGCGAGGAGCAGGCTTCCTTTCCACTGCTGCCCAGGAGGTTAGGGGTCCATGGAGCCATTGGATCAAACAGCAGGAAAAGACATTCCACTTGAAGATTACTAGAAAGGCATTCCTGAGGAGGAGCAGACAGAGCTTTTGGGGGAGTGGCAGACCTGCCGGGGGCGGGGGGGGGGGGGGGGGGGGGGGGGGGAGTCTTGTTAGTGTATCAGCCACACAGCAAGGCAGGAACACGATCAACAATCACAGCCACCTTAGGCTATAAACTATTTTACAACTATATACATTAGAAGCTACTTAACACTCAGCACATCATAAACCTTGCTTCTCCACCGACTGTCCGTAACATTGCAAACACACACGAACCGTTATCAGTACTAGTCCACACCTCTTGCATTCCAGAGTGACATATGATGGTATGATGTACAACGCACAACGCTGCATCCATTTGCTCTATACATTTGATTTATGATCTCTCTAGGAATGCCGTTCCCTCCATGGTTCAGTTAACTCTTTCCACACAGGAATACATTACCCTCGGCACATAGCATTTTATACATACATACATACTTTGAAATCTACATTATAAATTGCAAACGACTCCAACAAGTCTGGCTTGTGTGGCTGTGCAAGATGAAAGGGCCACCTCCAGAACTGGACCCTCGACCCCTAAGGAGGACCTAGCCTTGCTTATTGGAGCAGCCCGCTTTGAGATAGAGTAGAATAACTTGATTGCCATCATGCATCGTACAATGAAATTAGATGCCGCCCCCAATGCACATTATATATGTAGAATTACTTAAACAACAACACCCATCTTTCCATGTTCAAATTGCTATTGCACAACCTGTGATGCCTATTATTATTATTATTATTATTATTATTATTATTATTATTAGCCAATACATCACACAGTCCTAGATACTTGGGAAATGTCAGATGTGTGATCCAATACAACAGCCAGCAGAGTGATCTTGTCTGCTGTGGACTCACCTTGTGTTTCTAATAATGATGATGATGCAAAGACTCTGGCACAAGCCAGTCAAGGTGGTCCCAGTGGTGATCGGCTCACTGGGTGCAGTGCCTCAAGACCTTGGCCTTCACTTAAACACAATCAGTGCTGACAAGATTACCACCTGCCAGCTGCAAAAGGCCACCTTAGTGGGATCTGTACACATTATTTGCCGATACATCACACAGTCCTAGACACTTGGGAAGTGTCCAACATGTGATCCAATACAACAACCAGCAAAGAGTGTTCTTGTTTGCTGTGGACTCATCTTGTTGTGTTTATAATAATAATAATAATAATAATCTAAAAACCTTAACCTGCCTTCACTTTAAAACAAAAAGTTGACAAAATCTCCAGCTGCAGAAGGCCTCCCTACTGGGATCTGCACGCATTATTTGCCGATACATCACACATGTGATCAAGCACCAGCATAGTGATCTTGTTTGCTGATACGAATGGTGTTTTGTACCAAATAATAATAATAAACCATAATAATAATAATAGTTTACCTCCCACGTACTTAAGTTTGGTGAAATGTAAAAATTAGGTTTGGGCTTCCTAATCGTAGACTCTGTGTTCCTCGCCTGTGATGGTCAAAGTCATTCTTCCTCTGTTTTCAGAGAAAAAGGAGGAGAGCAAGGAAGCAAAGAAGAAAGCCAGTGAACCAGTCAAAGAGGTAAATTCCCCCTGTTTGCATTGCAACTTGAAACAACTCAAAGCTCATTTCCCACAAGAGTCCGGCCAGAACCAATACGACTGCAGTGCAACCACAATATCATTGTATTTGATGTGTTCCACACTGGGCCAAATATATCAACCCGTGACCTATGCCGTAGAATCATTGAGTTGGAAGGGGGTCATCTGGGTTATACGATTATTCCTTCCGCAAGTTAGTGCACTGGACTGAGAGGGAACCTCCTCTCTTGCAAGCTGGCTGATCCTGTGGAAGCCAGTCAACACCTGTCAGTGAAAGAAAAATAACTATGCTGCCTTCATAAACGTTGGAAAGATTGGTTTTTTTTTTTCAGATTCTGTTGTCATTTGGTAGAATAATTATTTCTTCATAAGTTGCATCCTTTTTACAAACTTGCTGTATTACAACTCATTTAAGTTCATTACATTGTGGAAGGAATGTCTGGGTTGTTGTAGGTTTTCTCGGGCTATATGGCTATGGTCTAGAGGCATTCTCTCCTGACATTTCGCCTGCATCTATGGCAAGCATCCTCAGGTAGTGAGGTCTGTTGGAACTAGGAAAAAGGGTTTATATATCTGTGGAAAGACCAGGGTGGGACAAAGAACTCTTGTCTATTGGAGCTAGGTGTGAATGTTTCAACTGACCACCTTGATTAGCATATAATGGCCTGACAATGCCTGGGGGGATCTTTTGTTGAGAGGTGATTAGATGTCCCTGATTGTTTTCCCTCTGCTCTTTCGCTGTTGTGATTTTAGAGTTTTTTTTAATACTGGTAGCCAGATTTTGTTCATTTTCATGGTTTCCTCCTTTCTGTTGAAATTGTCCACATGCTTCTTGTGGATTTCAGTGGCTTCTCTGTGTAGCCTGACATGGTGGTTGTGAGAGTGGTCCAGCATTTCTGTGTTCTCAAATAATATGCTGTGTCCAGGTTGGTTCATCAGGTGCTCTGCTATGGCTGACTTCTCTGGTTGAAGGAATCTGCAGGGCCTTTCATGTTCCTTGACCCGTGTTTGGGCAAGGCTTCTGCGTTTGGTGGTCCCCATATAGACTGTCCACAGCTGCATGATACACGGGAGACTCCTGCAGAAGCGAGAGGATCCCTCTTGTCCTTTGCTGAACGGAGCATTGGTTGGATTTTCTTGGTGGGTCTGGAGATAGTTTGTAGGTTGTGTTTCTTCATCAGCTTCCCTCTACGGTCAGCGGTTCCCTTGACTAGGACACAATGGAGCAATGGCTTCAAACTACAAGAGAGGAGATTCCATCTGAACATTAGGAAGAACTTCCTGACTGTGAGAACCGTTCAGCAGTGGAACTCTCTGCCCCGGAGTGTGGTGGAGGCTCCTTCTTTGGAAGCTTTTAAGCAGAGGCTGGATGGCCATCTGTCAGGGGTGATTTGAATGCAATATTCCTGCTTCTTGGCAGAATGGGGTTGGATTGGATGGCCCATGAGGTCTCTTCCAACTCTTTGATTCTATGATTCTATGATGTCTGGCAAGAGCATTTTTCCTCTGGGTGGATCTTCCTCTGGGTGGATCTGTGTCAGACGTAAAATTTATCTAAATGTGTGAAAATTTGAGGAAAATATTAAGAGGATGTTTTTACTTGGGAGCAAGCATTTGGCCCAGCGTAATTATCTGTGCAATACAGTTGGAATTGACCCTGGATTGATGAATATGATTATTTGATCATCTGGATTTGGATCTATGCACAATAGTCGTCTAATGTTTACATATTGTTTGATGTTTTAAATTGTTGTTCCATTGCTTTTCATCATTTTTGTTGTTGTTTCGGCATGGAATAATAATGCCAATTTATGTCAGCCGCCCTGAGTCCCCTTCGGGGTGAGAAGGGCGGGATATAAATGTCACAAATACATAAATAAATAATAAGCCTAGTCCAACCCCATCCTGCCAAGAAGCAGTTCTCATTCTCTCATGCCAGAGCTTGCTTTACAGACAAAAACCACATACAATCCGTCTTAAGCTGTTAGGAATTGTGGGAGTTGAAGTCCAAAAACATTTGGAGGGAGGGCCCAAGTTGGCCCATGGCTCACTTATATGCTTGGGCTTCCCAGAGGAAGTCCCACACTTTCTCTTCCCATTTGAACCCTAGATCTGATGATTATACCCATTTCAAGCTTTCTCTTCTTTGAGCCTGAGGTGCTGTGACTGGACAAAGCGCAAGAGACTCTGACGCAAGGGTCCCTTTTCCCTTTGGTTTCCTTCCCAGGTGGTGGAAGAGAGATGCGTGGTGGCCATTTCCAGCCTCCCGGATGCCGGGCTCGGCCTGGAGGAAGTCCTGAACCTGACCAAGCCTTTTGGGAAACTGAAGGACATCTTGATTCTGTCTTCGCACAAGAAGGTACGGGGCAGCAGCCCTCCTTGCGGGAAAGTCTGCTTTCGGGTCCCTTGGGCATGATCAGGCATGGGCAAACTTTGGCCCTCCTTCCAGGTATATCGGACTTCGGCTCCCATAGTTCCTAACAGGCTACTGGCCATGAGGAATTGTGGCAGTTGAAGTCCAAAACACTTGGAGGGAAGGCCAAAGTTGGCCCAGGCATCTTGGAGATCTTTTTGGCCTTGGAATCCTGTAAGAAAAGGTGCAAGTTATGATGTATAGTATTGACTCAGGTCTACTGCGCCATTGAATCTAATGCACACCTCCATTTTTAAAATCCTGAAACAAAAAAGAGGTATTTGCTGATGAATGTTATGTGCAAAAAGCATCAAAAAGCGTGCTCTTTGTAATACGTCCACCCCAGTTGCTGCCTGCTTGTTGTTGTTGTTGTTCATTCGTTCAGTCGTCTCCGACTCTTCGTGACCTCATGGACCAGCCCACGCCAGAGCTCCCTGTCGGCCGTCACCACCCCCAGCTCCTTCAAGGTCAGTCCAGTCACTTCAAGGATGCCATCTTCTTGCCCTTGGTCGGCCCCTCTTCCTTTTGCCTTCCACTTTCCCCAGCATAATTGTCTTCTCTAGGCTTTGCTGTCTCCTCATGATGTGGCCAAAGTACTTCAACTTTGTCTCTCGTCTCCTTCCCTCCAATGAGCAGTCGGGCTTTATTTCCTGGAGGATGGACTGGTTGGATCTTATTGCACTGCCTAGTCAAATGCCTGTTCGAAAAACAAGGTCTTCAATTTCCTTCGGAATGCCAACAGGGAGGGGGCCGATCTGATCTCTGTAGGGAGGGTGTTCCACAGCCGAGGGGCCACCACTGAGAAGGCCCGGTCTTTCGTCCCCGCCAGGCGCGCTTGTGAAGCTGGCAGGATTGAGAGAAGGGCGGAATGGACCGGAATGGACTGTGATTATGAGATGGATTGACCCTATGATTTGACGAAGCGGATTTTTAGTATAGTAGTGTTTGTAGTAGTAGAACGTTGTGTATTGTTGATTTATTGTAAGCTGTCTTTTCTATGTTGTTGTACACCGCCACGAGTCGCCCCTGGGCTGAGAGTGGCGGTCTATAAGTGCAAGAAATAAATAAATAAATAAATAATTGTCTTCTCTAGGCTTTCCTGTCTCCTCATGATGGGGCCAAAGTACTTCAACTTTGTCTCTAGTCTCCTTCCCTCCAATGAGCAGTCGGGCTTTATTTTCTGGAGGATGGACTGGTTGGATCTTCTCGCAGTCCAAGGCACTCTCAGAACTTTCCTCCAACACCACAGCTCAAAAGCCTCTCTCTTCCTTCGCTCAGCCTTCCCGAAGGTCCAGCTCTCACATCCGTAGGTGACTACAGGGAAGACCATGGCTTTGACTAGGCAATGGATCTTGGTTGCCAGTCTGATGTCTCTACTCTTTACTATTTTATCGAGATTGGACATTGCTCTCCTCCCAAGAAGGAAGCGTCTTCTGATTTCCTGGCCACAGTCTGCATCTGCACTCATCTTTGCGCCTAGAAATACAAAGTCTGTCACGGCCTCCACATTTTCTCCCTCTATTTCCCAGTTGTCAATCATTCTTGTTGCCATAATCTTGGTTTTTTTGATGTTTAGCTGCCTGCTTAGGATTCCTTTAAAAACAATTGTGTTGGAACCCCAAAGCTTCCAACAGTGGCAAAGAAAACCTCGGGGTGCATCTATGCTGTAGAATGAATCCAGTATCACTGCCCTAGATAAATGCTATGGAATTATGGTTTAGTTTGACCAGAGAGCTACTGCCTCACCAAACTGCAAATCCCAGGATCCGACAGCATTGAGCTGTGGGCAATAATAATAATAATAATAATAATAATAATAATAATAAACCTTTATTTATACCCCGCTACCATCTCCCGCAGGACTCTGTGCAGCTTACAAGAGGCCGAGCCCAAATACATCGGAAACAAAAAACACAACAATAAATAACTCATAGCAAAGCAAAACAATAACAAAAATATCACGACACATTTAAAAGCCTGTGGCAGGGCCAAATGTAATGGTTAAATTTTCTTGAAAATGCTGGGCATGTCCAGGTGAGACAGGATGGATATTTTAGGGATAAGTGGGCGTGCAGACAATTCGAACTCTAATTAAATGAGAGATGGCATCCCTCAAAGAGGAGCTCTTGCCGCAGCTTCTTCTTTTGCTTTGGCTTGGCACTATCATGTGAATCGAATGCGCACCTTCATTTTGGCGAAGTCCTTTAACAAAAATGTAGGCTGTTAGGACTTGTGGGAGTTGAAGTCCAAAACACCTGGAGGATCGGCGTTTGCCCGTACCTGGCCTAAACATATATGTGAACGTATACGGCAAGCCAAGTGGTTCATGTCTCGTTCCTTCCCTCTCCCGCAGGCTTACATCGAGATCAGCCGCAACGCAGCCGACCTGATGGTGAAGTTCTACACCTGCTTCCCCATGTGGGTCGAGAAGAACCAGCTCTCCATCTCGTTGGTGCCCGAATTCAAGGACCTGAAGGACGAGGTGGGTCCTCGGGGTTCTTAAGAATCCATGGGAAACATTTGGAGTTGTCTTTGGGTCCTTACCAGTCAGATTCCAGCGACGGCTTGCTTTTTGTTACTATTTAGATTGATGGTCATTGGTCCCAACTCGAGTGGGTTCATTGTATCCCTTCCAGGACAGTCAGTTGGTAGTTAGCTTTGCTGTTTTACAAGGTCTGCTCTGGCAATTGGATTGAATCCGTTATTCACCTGCGGATTTGTATCCATCAAATTGCGCTCTTGGGGAATTTTCCCTGGAATTGGAAGACCAGAATGCCTTTTGGGCACAACAATTAGATGATTACAAATTTACCACATATATTTGTATGTATTTATGTGTGTGTGTGTGTGTGTGTGTATATATATGTATGAATGATGACCTCTTGAGGTCCCTTCTCAATTCTATGATTCTGTCCCCTTTCCATTTCTAAAAATGCAAAAAATTGAACTTTTTTTGGATAAACATAGTTGAGAATAATTTACCCTCCTGGAGAATTTTTCAAGAGCCTTTACATTCCTGCAAAATACACACACACAAGCCGTCCCCTGCCACGCGTTGCTGTGGCCCACTTTGTGTATATGTGTTTTTTGTGTGTATATATATTTGTGTATATGTGTAATTATGTGTGTTTGCATATATATGTAGTTTTGCGCATGCGCTGTAGCGTCTTTTTGCTTTTTTGGTTTTTCAAGGCCTTTCCGCTGTGTTATTCAGTGTTTTTATGAGTGGTGGTCACTCGTTGGCCTAATATGTGTATTGTGTCCCAATTTGGTGTCAATTCGTCCAGTGGTTTTTGAGTTATGTTAATCCCACAAACGAACACTACATTTTTATTTATATAGATGGTATATAGATAGATAGATACAGATACACACACACTCTCAAGGGGAGTTACCTACTGAAAGCAAATTTCGTAGTCTCTATTAATGTCTTCTCCAGGATCAGGATAATTTGCTGTCATGTTCTGAGAATGATGTGTTGCCTTGAAGACAAGTGTATGTCATTGTCCCTTTCAGAAAATACCTGTGGCAATTACACTGGATAGCTGTTTGTGTAACATGAATGCAGAGGGAGGAAATGTGGGGAAAGGACGTAATGTTCTCAAAGTGAGGCCAAGGTTGAGGCATTACTTCACAGAGGAAATGGGATTTAGTTAAACTGGGTGTTTTTTGAAATATAATTTGTAAACCTGCAAGCAACATGTTCGGCCTTGACGAAGTAAATCTTGGTTCTGTCTTCCTTAGGAGGCCATTTTCATCTCTCTGATCAAAGAGGCCAATGCAGAGGTAAGTTACGGTGTCAGTTGAGTACTCTTCACTGAATCTGAGCCTTTAGAACAGGAAAATATTAGGAAATCCTAGAATCCTAGAGTTGGAAGAGACCTCGTGGGATATCTAGTCCAACGCCATTCTGCCAAGAAGCAGGAAAATTGCATCCAAAGCACCCTCGACAGATAATAATAGTAATAATAATAATAAACAACTTTATTTGTACCTTGCTACCATCTCCCCAAGGGACTTGGTGCGGCTTACATGAGGCCAAGCCCGAAGTACATCAAACAACATCAATAACATTAATAAACAATCAATAAAATACAAATCATATAAATCGCACAACAAAAACAACAATCAATAATGACATATTAAAAATGGCTGGGCCTAATGTAATAGATTAAAATTGAAAATATGGCCAGCTAGCCTCTGTTTAAAAGCCTCCAAAGAAGGAGCCTCCACCACACTCCCTCTGGGGCAGAGAGTTCCACTGCTGAACAGCTCTCATAGTCAGGAAGTTCTTCCTGATGTCCAGGTGGAATCTCCTTCCTTTCCTGTAGTTTGAAGCCATGGCTCCACTGCGACCTAGTCTCTAGGGCAGCAGAAAGGAAGCTTTCTCCCACCTCCCTATGACTTCCCCTCACCTCTTGATCCTTGGCCCTTATTCTCATGTCTCCTCCCAGCCTTTTCTTCAGGCTAAACATGCCCAGCTCTTTAAGCTGCTCCTCATAGGGCTTGATCATTTTAATCACCCTCCTCTGAACACATTCCAGCTTAGGGAAGTAGTCCTTGTTTTACTTGTCTTCTGAAATAATATAAATATCTCACTGAAACATCAGGGACTTCTTGTGTCAGAGCTTGGCTCCGTATATTAAAGACGTGTGGGCTAGAAATAGGAAACGGTGCAGGGGGACGCTCAAGATACCGCTGCATCATTGTGCTTGGTGTCAAAAAGCCTTAACGTTGCAGTAAAAATAGTGCCTTGGTGATGGCCACTAATAGTCCTTTCCATCCGAGGAGAATTGCAATCATAGAATCAGAGCTGGAAGGGGCCCTCAAAGGCCATCCAGTCTAACCTCCTTCTGGCAGCCAAGCAGGAAAACCACAATCAGAAGGAGAGAAGGACAGGAAAAAAGAGAAGGAAAAAAGGAGAGAAAGAGGGAAGGAAGGAAGGAAAGAGATAAGGAAAGATTGAACCAACGAGCAAAGGAAGGAAGGAAAGAGGTAGAGAAGGAGTAAAGGAGAGAAAGCACAAGGGAAAGAAAAAGGGGGGAAGGAAGGCGAGAAAGAGGGGAGGAAGGAAAGAGATAAGGAAAGATTGAACCAAAGAGCAAAGGAAGGAAGGAATGAGGTAGAGAAGGAATAAAGGAGAGAAAGCACAAGGGAAAGAAAAATTGGGGAAGAAAGGAGAGAAGGAGGGAAGAAGGAAGGAAAGAGATAAGGAAAGATGGAACCAAAGAGCGATGGAAGGAAGGAAAGAGGTAGAGAAGGAGAGAAAGCACAAGGGAAAGAAAAGGAGGGGAAGGAAGGATAGAAAGAAAGGAGGAGAGAAGGAAGGAAGGAAGGAAAGAGATAAGGAAAGATTGAACCAACGAGCAAAGGAAGGAAGGCAGGAAGGAGGTAGAGAAGGAGTAAAGGAGAGAAAGCACAAGGGAAAGATAAAGGGGGGAAGGAAGGAGAAAATGAGGGAAGGAAAGAGATAGGGAAAGATGAACCAACGAGCAAAGGAAGGAAGGAAGAGTAAGAGGAGAGAAGGAGAGAAAGCACAAGGGAAAGAAAAGGAGGGGAAGGAAGGAGAGAAAGAAAGGAGGAGAGAAAGAGGGAGGGAATGTTGGCCAAGCAATATGTGGCAAGTACAGCTAGTAGTTAGTAAATAAATAAAATAAATGGGGTATCAGTGGTGGCTGAATAGATGCAACATTTGGGTATCATTGGCTGCATCCCAACACCAGTTCAAAGCAGATATTGTGGGATTTTCTGCCGTGATATTGTGGGTTATAAAGTTGAGTGGAAGGGCCCTAACAGGAGCAAAGAGCTTCTGGAAAGGCCAAGCAAAGAGGAGAGGCACCTGAAGCCTTTTCTTGTGAGGTCCACGCAACATAGACAAAGCAGTCAAGCCCTGAGTACTTTGCCGGGACGGGGAGCCGAGCGGGGCAGCCCCGATATCCTTGCTTGAGAAGCAGAACGATGAGCCCAGGCTCAGCCTATGGACCTGCCTTTTTCTGTCTCGCAGGTGAAGGTGGAAGGCCTGCACACGCAGTTTGTGCACTTGGGCAACCTGCCAGACAAGGGCTACTCCGAACTTGAGATCCTTTGCGTCGGCCTCCGCTTTGGGCGGGTGGATCACTACATGGTCATCGCCAATAAAAACAAGGTGAGTGTCGCTCGTGGGTGGCTCCTCCTCCTCTTCCTCCTCCTGGAAGATGGGGCTCAGCCACCTGTGTGCATTTTTGGGGGGGGGGGGGCGTTCCAGGCAGATCATGCTCTCTCTGAAATAGCGTACAAGTCCTGGTGCCTCTTTCAAAAAGGAAGAGAGCGGTCCCGTGGTATTGACTTCCATTTCAGCCAGCAGCTCTAAAAAAGGCCTGAAAAACTAGGCTTATAGTAGAGTATATACAATGTATTGTCGAAGGCTTTCATGGCCGGAATCACTGGGTTGTTGTAGGTTTTTTTCGGGCTATATGGCCATGTTCTAGAGGCATTTCTCCTGACGTTTCGCCTGCATCTGTGGCAAGCATCCTCAGAGGTAGTGAGGTCTGTTGGAACTAGGAAAAAGGGTTTATATATCTGTGGAATGACCAGGGTGGGCAAAGGACTCTTGTCTGCTGGAGCTAGGTGGGAATATTTCCACTGACTACCTTGATTAGCATTTGATAGCCTGGAAGTGCTTGGAGCAATCTTTTGTTTAGATGTCCTTGTTTGTTTCCTCTCCGTTGTTGTGCTGTTGTGATTTTAGAGTTTTTTTTTAATGCTGGTAGCCAGATTTTGTTCATTTTCATGGTCTCCTCCTTTCTGTTGAAATTGTCCACATGCCTCTTGTGGATTTCAGTGGCTTCTCTGTGTAGCCTGACATGGTGGTTGTTGGAATGGTCCAGCATTTCTGTGTTCTCCAATAATCTGCTGTGTCCAGGTTGGTTCCTCAGGTGCTCTGCTCTGGCTGACTTCTCTGGTTGAAGGAGTCTGCAGTGCCTTACGTGTTCCTTGATGCGTGTCTGGGCAATGCTGCTGCTGCTGCATTTGGTGGTCTCTATGGAGACTTCTCCACAGCTGCATGGTACATGGTAGACTCCTGCAGAAGTGAGAGGATCCCTCTTGTCCTTTGCTGAACGGAGCATTTGTTGGATTTTCTTGGGTCTGTAGATAGTTTGTATGTTGTGTTTCCTCATCAGCTTCCCTGTGGTCAGTGGTTCCCTTGATGTCTGGCAAGAACACTTTTCCTCTGGGTGGATCTTCATCTTGACTCTCGTGGCTTGTTCTTGGTCTTGCAGCTCTTCTGATGTCTGAGGTGGAGTCTCCATTGGCCTGGAGAGCCCAGTTGAGGTGGTTCAGTTCATCTTGGAGGAGGTGGGCTTCGCAGATTCCTTTTGCACGGTCTGCCAAGGCTTTAATGGTGCTTCTTTTTTGACTTGGGTGATGGTTGGAGTTTTTATGTAGATATCTATCTGTGTGTGTGGGTTTTCTGTAAACGGTGTGACCCAATTGTTGATCTGGTTTGCGGATGACTAGGACATCTAGAAAAGGCAGTCTTCCTTCATTTTCTTTTTCCATGGTGAACTGGATGTTTGGGTGGATGCTGTTAAGATGTTCCAGGAACCTGTTGAGTTCTTCTTCTCCATGGCTCCAAATGGTGAAAGTGTCATCCACATCTCTGAACCATATTGTGGGCTTTTTTGTGGCTGTTTCCAGGGCTTGTTTTTCAAAGTGTTCCATGCAGAAGTTAGCTATGACAGGGTTGAGAGGGCTCCCCATATCTACTCCATCTTTCTGTTTGTAGAACTCATTGCCCCACTGAAAGTAGCTCGTGGTGAGGCCATGGTGAAACAGATACAGGGATTGCATGTATTATTTTTGTACTTTTCAGGCCATCCTTCAGCTGGACAGCGCTGAGTCGGCTGCGTCCATGTGCCGCTTCCTCACAAAGTATCCGTACAGCTTGGGAGACCTGGAGCTGACATTCTGGCGGTCGCCACGCGTTGAGCCCTTGCCAGTAAGTCCCTTTTGTTCGCTCCGTCTGGAGAACGCAGTCTGTGTAGAGCAGAGCTTTCCAAACTGTGTAGCGAGACACGTCTCGACACATAATGTGTGCAATGTGAAATGGAATAACTGTTGTTGTCCTTGTACATTCTGCAAGGAAATTAAATGCCATCCCCAGCACACATTCTATATGTAGAATTACAAAAACAAAACACCCATCCTTGCACATTCTCATCGCTATTGCACGACCCCTTCGTGCCACTTCAGTGTGAAACTGTTTGCGCTGCTTGTAAATAGTTCCAAACGTTCAATACAATGTATTTCTCCCCCCACAGCCTGAAGTTTTGAAGAAACTGGCGAAAAAGCAAGAGCCGAAAAAAGCGAGGTATGACTTTGTAGAAGTATCCGAAGTAGAAGTATCCCTTTATGTGTGTCTGTGAGTGCGTCTGTGTGTGTGCTTTAAAGAGCTGCTCCATAGAGGAGGCTGGTGTGCCATGGTGAGCTCTATGGTCTGATTTCTTTATAGTGGTTCAGAGATATATCCAGTAACACAACCCTCTCCGTAACTCTCTCTCATGTCCCCTCCTCTGTTGAGGAACACCTCAAGGAAACAGATGGTGTTTGGAGGTGTGGGTGGTGTCACTCCCTTCTGTTAATCTCCATGGGCTCCGGTGGGATGTCAAGGCAACTGCAATGAGCACAGAGGAATGACATGTCATTTCACATTCTGCAAAAGAGCACGCATGCCTTTGTTTGTGTGTTATAATATAAGCAGGGACTTATTTGGGGGAATAAAAATCCCAACGCTGTTCCACCAAAATATAACGGATATAAACAAAACAAAATATAACGGATATAAACAAAACACCACTTAGATTGGAATGGGGCTTCTGTGACTAGAAGCCCCAAAACTAAAAAAAATTGTAAGGAAAGCTGGAACTTTCTTCTGGCCAGGAAAAAAAAAACATTTTTGAAAGCTCCCTGGCACTCACCAACTTAGAAGCACTGATAAGCCCTTGGCTTACTGGAAGTATTCTTAGGTAAGAGTGTGTTGGATTAGCCCTCCGGCTTGTATTTCTGAGGTACCACTAAAAGATTGTTCTTTAAAATCTATGCTATCACTATTAAGCTCTTAATTACTGCAGGAACCGGCTTCTAAAACTTCACCCACAGAGGCACACGTGAGGCAGTTGTTGTGAACAACAAAACAATGATGTTTATTTAAGAGAACAGGAACAATCCAGGTATAAAGCTTAGCTGTTTCAAAATAGGGACTTAAAAGTGTGTGGTTACATAAAGCAGTTCAGGCTTAGTTACGCAGGAAACACCTCTCTCCCTCCACCCTTCAACTCCCAAAAATCCTAACAGCTGGTAAACTGGCTGGGATTTCTGGGAGTTGTAGGCCAAAATACTTGGGGATCCACAGATTGAGAACCACTGCTCTACACCACTCCAAACTCCTAACACCCTCTCCCTTTGACACCCAGGCTCAATCTCCTGTCAGGGTTTCAAAAACCTTCCCTTAAAATCAATTATTTTCTTTTTCTAAGTTAGGCTCTGCCCACTCTCACTTAGGCAATTACAGTCCTCCCTCATTTCCTTCCAAAGCTGCTCTTTCTAAACAGGAAATGAGTAATTACAATGGATTCCTCCGGCACCCTTTCCAAAATGGCTTCTAAACTTCTTCGGTCCACTTTTACCTAGGCTTTTCCTAGCCTAACAGGTCGGGAATTCACTACCCAGGATGAGGCCAGGGCTTTCTGCTCAAACCTTTTCCCATCACAGCTTGCTCTGAAATCAGACATTGCAGGGTCAGGAAAACACATTCTAGTGATGAGAGCAATAACCGTGGAAGGTGTTACCGAGAACCATGCTAAATGTGCAATATGACACAGTACATAGCAATAGCTGACTTGTACTTCTCTTCCTAGATGCTGATGATTTTTTTAATGTGTATGCACCTATTCAGCCTACATGTTGTCTGTGTAACAAATGCACTTGAAAATTACACCTGCCATCATTTACTTTCTACTGCTGTTGATTTTAAGCAAAGCGACATATGAATCCCGTGTTGCAACTCATAAAATGGCCTTTTCCCCAGGCCCTGAGCACTCCTATTTCTCTTGCCTGGTTATCTGTGAAGGAATGTACATGCCAGGGAAGCATAACGCACATTTCTGATACTGTATGGGTCCATGAAGCAACAAGCTCTAATAAGGAAACTGAGAAGAGGGGGGAGATGGGCAGGAAAGGTGTATAAAAGGAAGTGGAGGTGGGAAGAAGTCAGTAGTGTCTTTCTTTGCTGCAGAGATACAAGCAATATATTCATTTCCAAGCAAAACCGGCTTGTGAGTGATCATTTAATATTGCTACATAAAACCTACAGTCTTACATGCACATGCACAGCACGGGCTCCTTGCTTGAGCGCAACACCCAGAGCCCAATTTCTGCCCCAGAAGGAAGTGCCCGTGTCACCAAATGCTTGGGAGGGGGTGAGACCTCTTCATAGCTCAGTTTCACGTACATTTTGGGCCCTTTATGCCAGAGCTACCCTTTATGGGGAAAAGACCACTGCGGCGGTTAGATGTACACACAAAGCTAAGTCTCTTAAGCCTGCAATGGAATGTTTCCTCGCTGTACAAGTGCAAGTACAAACAAGATGGTGAGCAGAAGAAGAAGAAAAAGCAAAGTTTCCAAGTAGAGTAATAAGGTAGGCTTTTGTTTTGACTCCTTGGCCCTTGTCTCTTGCGGCTTTGCAGGACAAACAGAAGTGACCTTGGATTGTTGTAGGGTTTTTTGGGCTATATGGCCATGCTCTAGAGGCATTCTCTCCTGATAATTTGCCTGCATCTATGGCAAGCATCCTCAGAGGTAGTGAGAAAGAAGCAACCTTTCTGTTTTGATCAGGTAGACTCAGAGAAGTCTTGCAATGCTTCCAGCCTTTGGGGGGCTTGTCCACTCACCGTGGGGGGAGCCAAGGCCTTCCTTTCCCCCTCTGGGTGGACCCTGTGCCTCTCCAAATTCCCAGGGAGCCCTCGTTCAGCCAACGCACCGCAGCCACAGCCCGGGAGAACGGAAGACTGAGCTTAGGGCGGAGGAGAGCTGGAGGTGGCGTTCCTTTCGTGCGGAGGTCCTTCCACTCTCCTTGGGGATTTCACCGAAGAGAGATGCCTGAGGACAACGAAGACGCAAGAATGCAGCCGCTGCCTTCAGCTTAGATCTGCCTCCATGAAATGATAGGCAGGTCCCTGCCTCCTGACTTGTCCAGTCTAGGGAAGGACTTGTGTACTTTGTATACAGAATCTTGCTTTTTTTCATTGACTCTGCAGAATTGTGTATCTATTTGTGTTTTGAGCTGTGAATGCTGACTTTCCCCCCTGCCTCCTGGGTTTGCATTTTTGCCCTATTCCAGAGCAACAAGACACTGATTTTTTTCCTCCAATGAGAGAAGACCCACTGCCTCCCAATTCCCATATGAATTCTTTTAGCACATTGCTCCCATTCCTTGGAGAAAATGGAAAGACTGATGTTGATGCTTTTCCTGATAGATTGCATAGAATGAAACCCCCATCTCAAAACAGAGAGAAGTGAAGCAGTGTTTCACCAGTTTCTGCAGCCTGCCCCTCAGGCTGTGTTTAGAGATTTGCCTGCTTCAGTCTGCCACAAAAAAAGCAAAGATTGCTTCACTCAGGCTGATTGTGGAAATTTCCCACAGCTTCAAACATTGTTCTTTGCACAATTGTTGCTGCACACCTGAAGCGCAGTTCCTAGTTGATGTCTCAGCCTCACAAAACCAAGTGATTGGTTGTTATTCAGCATTTTTTTCTTTTTTTGTACAATTATGCAATAGCAACCATGTCTTGAAGAAGAGCTGCGTCGAATTGCCAATTGCAACTGGAAAACTGTCAAAAGATAAAGGGATTTTTTTTTTGTTTTTATCCAATTTTTTGGAGCATCTCCTCTGCTTCATCCCAGTGGAATCAAATAGGACTTATGCGGCTGACTCCACTGGTTTTTTTGAAAGTCCATCCTCTTTGCTGGCTATGCCATTCAGAGAGTCAGACCCTCAACTGAAAATTGCAATCCTTGTTTTTGGATAGTCTGCAGCCATCTTTCAGCAGGTGTCAACAGTGGCTGCTGCTCTTTCGTCACCGAGTTTTTACTTTCTGCCCAGTTTCCTTTTTATTTTAGTTCTGCATCTCACTGTGCATTTAGAAAGAAGAAGAAAAAGAAGACTTAATGAGACCTTTTGCTTATATGTTCCATGCCTTTAGAGTGACAGCTGCAGTCAGCTGGCACAACTTGCAAAGGAAACCTTTCTGCTGCAAAGACACCTGATGCTTTGTGGGCAAAGCAGGACCAAAGGAGCCCAGCCTTAAGAGGCCACACTGGGAGATGAAAGACCGTGCTTTATGCCTGCTGCTGCCTGTAGACACCCAGAGGAGCCCTGGCTGCCCATTGCTGGACACCCAATGGACAGTTAAACCACTGGGTCAGACCCAGCAGAGCTCAAAACTTAGGCGCTTCCCGTCAGGCAGGCATTTCCTCTTCAGCGCTGTCCTCTGCAATGCCTCCTTGAAGTAGCTTAGATTGGGAACCAGTTTTCAGAAAGCTGAAGTGAAATCGGGATGGAGGGCACCGCAAAATATGTGTTTCCCACTCAGTGTGTCCTTAACCTGATCCGTTTTAGTTCTCTAGGTGTCTAAGTGGCCGCATGTCTGAATCATAGGCAGGAAGGTGGTGGATAAAAACACCAGGGAGCTTTTCCTATCCTCCTATTAAACCCATTTTTATGCCTAAGCGGAGTCGTGCGTTCTCTCTGTGTCCCCGTGTTGTGTGTGTCTTCAGACCGAAACTGAAGCCTGCCACCTGAACGCCACACGTGTGAAATGAGTGGCACCTTCAGAGAAACTCCTCAGGTAACACGCCACACTGAGAAAGGTAAATAAACATTTGTTAACGCCACTTTGGTAGAGAGGTGAATAATGATAGGTGCCCAAAATGCTAACCTCGTAATGTTTCAGGAAGCCGCATCTGTTGGCGCCAAGAGGTGATTGATAACTGTGGCGTTCTCAACATAGCTTGATCTCTTCTGTTTTTTTAAATGTATTTAGCCCTGACACGAAAGCAATTCCTGAAGGATCCGCTGTCGTTCCTCCGTCCCTGGAAACGAAGGAAGAACCCAGCCGCGACCCGAAGGCCAAGGTGGAACTCTCGGGAGCCGCTTCAGAATCGTTGAAGACCAAAACACCGGGAGAGGGCTCTGCAGTGGGAGCCCCCACTGCCGCGCCCGAGGTTCCGCCGGATTTGCCCTCATCCGGAGAAGACAAGACTGAAGAAGGAAAGCTTGGAGCAGCCCTTGCTCTCCCGTCCAGCAGCACAGAGAAGAAAGAAGACGCTCCAGCTCTCTCGTCAAGCACTATGGAGAAGAAAGAAGATGCTCCAGCTCTCTCGTCCAGCAGCTCGGAGAAGAAAGAAGACGTTCCAGCAGACTCTCATGCTGAGTTACAGGGGAATGCAGGGGCTTCGGCAGAAGGGAACACCAGTAAAGAATTGGGTGCACCCACTGATAAAGAACTGGCCAAAGGACTATCTGGCGAGGCTCCAAGAGAAAGCTCTGGGGCTGAAGACTCTACGATGGCAGCGGAAGGGGAAAATCCCCAAGACGCTTCTGGCCTCGAGGCCGTTCCAGCAGCGCCTGCCGAAGCTCCAGCACAGGAACTGCCGGGGACTGAGCAGGTCTCAGAACACAAGCCGGCAGCGCCGGAAGCAGAAAAGATTGAACCCTCCATAGATATGTCAGAGACTCCTGTCTCTGAGGAGGCAGCCGTTGTAGATAAGGAACCGGAGAGCAGTCTTTCTGCTCCTGAGCAGCACATGGAGGTGGAATCCGAGGCCGTTGTCGCGCAAACGCAGGAAGACAAGGCAGTGAAGGTTGCTTCACCGCCGGCCAAGGCAGAAGCAGCTGTCAAAGTGGAAGCTGAGGAAGGCCCAGCGTCGAATAATGGGGCCGCCAAGGAGGAGAAGTCTCAAAAGAACGCGAAGAAAGACAGTCCAGAACAAGCTCTCTCCAAGAAGAAGCCCAGCAAAGGACCAGCGCGAAGCAAAACGGAGGAATCGAGGAAAGCGCCAGCGCCTGTGCCGGAACCCACCGCCGCGGAGGCTTCCTCAGCTAGCAAAACTATCCTTAAGGCCTTGTTGTCTGTCCCGAACGTAGCGCAGAAAAGAGCCCCGTCACGAAGGAAGGCCGGGCACAACCCTGCCGTAAAGCCAGGGACCAGGAGCCAAGCGAGAAGGGAAGAACCCGTGGAACATGGACCCAAGCGAGAACACAAGCGGTCGGCCTCAAGGGAAACGAGTCACGAGAGGCTCGCCAGCGCCCAGTCGGATTTGCCGGACTATATCAAATCTAAGCCGAGTGCGAGCTCTCTGGCGGCCTCTGAGTTAGGGAACGAGAAGACTCGGTCGCAGCCGGAGAAGGACCCCCAGGCAGACACTAAGGGTCCCCCCAAGCAGCGCCGGGAGCGGGAGAATAGGTCCTCCAGCCTGAAGCGAGACAGCGGCGGCAGCAGCAACAAGGTGAGGAGAGCAGAGCGCCAGCTCATTCTGATGGGCGACCGGTCATGGTGTTTCTCCCCGAAACGAAGGTGCGCGGGCCTCGCCGTCTTGGTCCGGGCCCCACTCCCTTCCTGAAAGCGGCAGCAGCGAGTGGGGTCAGCAAGCGCATGGGCATACCATGCGGCCCCAGAGGGCACCTGGCGCATTCCGGCCCCAGAAATGGAAGAAGATGAGGGCCTGCGTGCGCCGGGGAAACTGGGGGCGGCGAGCAGCCTCTTCGCGGTGGAGTCCCCAACGGGCAAGTATGGCCCCTTCTTTCTCTTGCTGTTGCCCTCCCTCCATTGGGAAGCGATACAGAATCCTGGCTGCCCGAAGGAAAGAAGGAAGTAGGTGACCCACTGTTATTTTTGCTGTTGTTGAGGCTCTCCGGACCTGGACAGTGAGAGCGGTTGGCATTGTTGCTCCACTTGTGTAGCATTGCAGTCAGTTCCCTCTTAGCTTAAAATCGGGATGTTGGTGTGCCTCTCGGAGGCTCTTTCCTCCTCCTCATTTTCTCCTCCTTTTAAATCTTTCCCTTCAGGCATCCGCTGGAAGGAGCACTCGAAGTTCTAGAAGCTCCACAAAACCAAAACAGGTGAGGAAGCAAAACATGAGGAACCTTTGCAGTTGGGGGTGTTTCAAGGACATTTCGGGAATGACAGTTGTCTATAGGGGAGTTTCCATTCTCGAGGTGTTTGTCAGGAAAATGCTCTTAACATCCCTCCCAGGTGTCGTTTTGTCTGCTTTTTTGGTCATTGTTGGATTAGTGGGATTGGGTTGCTCTGAGAGAGTCAAAGAAAGCAAACATTTTTCTGCTGGGTTTTGGTGCGCTTCGCTGTTTTCATGTGACATTGCTCTCCAAATTGGCATTTTCTTTAAATGCAGTGGATTTGGGTGCTTCAGGGGCTACACTTTGGGATCCCATGTGGCCCACAGACTGTGTTGCAACCACCTTTTTGTATCTTCTGTCAGCCAAAACAGGTGTCTGGGGCTGCTGTGTAGCCTGTCTTAGCTTTGGTGACTTTCCAGATATGACTGGACGGTGCTCCCATGATCCCTTACTGTTAACTGTGCAGGCTGAGATTAGGGGAGCCACAGTCCGGCTGCACTGGAGCACCCTCTCCCTGTGTTAAGAGAACCCCGGCGCCCATTATACACTCAGAGTACTTCCAAACCACCTTTTACAACTGCAGTATCTTTCCCTTTCCTGCTGTCTATAAAGGTTAGGGACTTATTTTGAGAAATAATCCCACATGCTAGCAACCACTTATAATGATATTTTAATTGAAAACCAAAGACAAAAGCTGGAACTTTCTTCTGGCTGAAGAAAACCTTTTGAAAGAGCTCTGGCACTCACCAAACTTAAAAGGAAAGTTAAGCCCTTGGATTACTTAAAGTATCTTAGGCAAGAGTGTGCTGGATTAGCACTCAGGCTTCTGTAACACCGAAAAGATTACTCTTTTAAATATACGCTGCCACCATTAGATTTTTTTTGCTGCAGGAAACTTTTGATTGCTGCAGGAAACTCCTTTTAAAACTTCACCCGCAGAAGCACACGTGAGGCAGATGTTATGAACAACAAAACAATGATGTTTATTTAAGAGGAGTTGAACAAAACAGGCATTAAGCTTAGCTGTTTGGAAAAATTGTCATAAAAGTGTGTGGCTTCGTTTAGCAGGTCAAACTTGCACATAAACACTCCTCTCTCCCTCCAGAAACCCTAATCATCACACTGTCCTTCCTTGTCTTGCACTTCTTGGGCGTTGCTCTGCTTTGGGTAGTTCCACTAAAAACTTAGGGTTTGTGTTCCCTCTTGTACAGGAAGAAGAGCTTTCCTCGTTCAATTTGGATGAGTTTGTCACAATGGATGAAGTCACAGATGAAATGGATTCTCCTTCCCAGCTGAGGAGGAACCCTGCGAGAGGCAAACGCAAGGAGCCGGCCAGGAAGAAGGAGCCCTCCTACGAACCCAGCTCCAAGCGGAAGAAGAGCAAGGCCTCCGCGGCCGAGAGCGAGGTCTCCTTCGTAACGCTGGACGAAATTGGCGAAGACGAGGGTGGGGCGGCCCAGGCAGAGCCCTCGGACGCCTTTCCGGACCCCCGGACGCTGGTCACGGTGGACGAAGTGAATGAGGAGGAGGAGGAGGAGCTGATGGATGACATGATGGGGGACCCCCAGGCGCTGGTGACCTTGGACGAGATCTCTGAGCAGGAAGAGCCGGCGCTCCAGGAATCCCCCAAGAAGGCCCCAGAGCCTAGCAAAGCCAACCTGAAAGCAGAGCCTTTGGTCACTCTGGATGAGATCTCTGAGCAGGAAGAACCAGCCGTGCCAAAGGCCACGAAAGAGGCCACAGAGCCTTGCGAAGCTGACTTGAAAGCGGAGCCTTTAGTGACTCTGGATGAGATCTCTGAACAGGAAGAGCTGGCCACGCAGGAGGCCACAAAAGAGGCCACAGAGCCTAACAAATCGGACCTGAAGGCAGAGCCTTTAGTGACTCTGGATGAGATCTCTGAACAGGAAGAGCTGGCTGTGCAGAAAGCCACAAAAGAGGCCACAGAACCTAGTGAAGTTGACCTGAAAGCAGAGCCTTTAGTCACTCTGGATGAGATCTCTGAACAGGAAGAACTGGCTGTGCAGGAGGCCACGAAAGAGGCCACAGAACCTAGCGAAGCTGACCTGAAAGTGGAGCCTTTAGTGACTTTGGATGAGATATCTGAGCAAGAAGAGCCAGCAGTTCAGGAGGCCACGAAAGAGGCCTCTGCCTCAGGAGCTAGTGAAGCTGACCCGAAGGCAGAGCCTTCAGTGACCGTGGATAAGATCTCTGAACCAGAAGAGCGGGCGGTCCACGTGGCTGCTCAAGAGCCCTCCACCCCAGGAGCTGGCAAAGCTGGCCCGAAAGCAGAGCCTTTAGTGACTGTGGATGAAGTCGGAGAAGTGGAAGAGCTCCCTCCGAACAAGGAGGAGCGTGGCAACAAGAAAGCCTCGAAGCCCCGGAAAGAGGAGAAGCAGGCCGCAGAGGATCCTTCCCAGATGCCGGAAGATCCCGGCGCTCTCGTGACGGTGGATGAGATCCACGAAGACAGCGAGGACCAGCCGCTCATGACCCTGGACGAAGTCACGGAGGACGAAGAAGACTTCATGGAGGATTTCAATTGCCTGAAGGAGGAGTTTAACTTTGTCACTGTCGACGAGGTCGGGAGCGAAGAGGAGGAAGAGGAAGAAGAGGGCGCCTCTGCCAATGGAAAAGTCGACGAGCCCGTTGCCCAGGCAGTGCCACAAAAAGAAGGAGAAGAAGGAGGAGAGGCACCAGCGCCAGCGGATGAACCAGCAAAGGACGTGGGGTCCTCTTCCTCGTCGGAAGAAACGGCCGTTCCAGAGAGTTGCCGAACAGAAGAGGCAGCGGACGGTGAGAAGGAGAAGGAGGAAGAAAAGGAGGCGCCTGAGGCTCAGGCAGAGGATCTCAAGAAAGAGCAGCCGGATGCTGAAGATGCAGAAAAAGAGGGGCAGGAAGCCACCTTAGAAGATGAAGGGAAGGAGAAAGGAGGAGGAGAAGGAGACACAGCGAAGACCTGCGAGGCCCCTGAAGCAGGCAGGACTCCTGAGCTGCCATCGGCAGGTAGGAACTGAACTGTTCTTAAGGGTAAGAAATAGGCTTGGGTGGTTTCGTTCGTTAATTTCGTAATTCGTTATTAATTCGTATTTAAATTAGCTTACGATCCAATATTGAGCCATGCAGGAATTGTGTGAGGAGTAATAAAGATTTGAAACAATTTTTTCAATTTATTTCGTAATTATTTCGTAATTATTTTGTAATTATTTTCGCATGTCTGGTGCAAGTTTTATAGTTGTTGTGTTTTATCACACCAACAGTCAACAACAGAGGGAGAGGGAAGCTTCAGAAGTTCCCCCTGTCCCATTTGGAGGTTTTTTTTAGCATATTGCGCAATCTCGCCCGCCATTAACGAATCGATTCGTAATTTTACGAAATTTCGTAAATTTCGAAATTTTTAAAGGAAAATTTCGGAATTATTAAAAAAAACGAAACGCAAGGGCCCCCTAAAAACAAAACGAGTTTAGAACCAATTTTTCCGTGGTTACCCAAGCCTAGTAGTCAGGTCTTTTACAGTCAAAAATATAGAAAATCCTTACAGGAAAATAAGCAGGATAGTACAACAACAACAACAACACTTTATTTGTACCCCGCTACCATCTCCCCAAGGGACTCGGTGCGGCTTACATGAGGCCGAGCCCAAACATAACAATACAAGCAAAACAACAACAGTACAAGCAATTAAAATAAAACATAGACAATAAAATATACAACATTATCAATAAGACAACATGCAATTAAAAACAGTGGGAAGGCCAAATGTAAAGTTAAAATGGAAATAATGCTGGGACATGGACGGAAGGTGGTAGTGGCGTTTGTGGAAGGGCATACGAGCAGATCTAAAAAGTGTAAAGTGTTTTTGGAGGACCAAGTGCTATGGGATCATTATTCTGGGAAGGCACACTGGAACAGCCATGTCTTCAAGCTCCTCCTAAAGACTGCCAAGGTTGGGGCCTGCCTGATGTCCTTAGTGAGTGCGTCGAGGGGCCACCACCGAAAAGGCCCTCTCTCTCGTCCCCACCAACTGCGCCTGCGATTTAGGTGGGACCGAGAGCAGGGCCTCCCCGGATGATGGAAGGGATTGTGTGGGTTCGTATACAGAGATGCGGTCACGCAGGTAGGCGGGTCCCAAACCGTTCAGGGCTTTGTAGGTAAGAACCTGCACCTTGAATTGGGTGTGGTAGATGAATGGCAGCCAGTGGAGCTCCTTGAACAGGAGGGTTGACTGCTCCCTGTAAGTCGCCCCAGTTAACAACCTGGCTGCTGCCCGTTGGACCAACTGAATGTCGTAGATAAATAATACAATAGTATTATTATTGTTATTATTATTATTATTATTATTATTATTATTATTATTATTATTAAACTTTATTTGTACCCCGCTAGCATCTCCCGCAGGACTCAATGCGGCTTACAAAGGCCAAGGCCTCAATACACAACATAACAATACAAACCTAGGCAAATTAAAACAATTAAAGCAATCTAAAACAACAAGCAATGAACAAGCCACTAAGACACAATAAAACTGGGCCGGGCCAGAGTAAGGGTACAAGGGTTAAAAGTGCTGATGTGACAGGTGGAAATGAGGCTTATGGACAAGTGCAGTGTGCAGTGTGCAGCGGTCTTGGCTTTAATAAAGTGCTTGTGGGACTTGGTAATGGAGGTTTCCTATTCGGGAAAGGCACATCGGAACAGCCAGGTCTTCAAGTTCTTTCTGAAGGCTGCCAATGTAGGGGCCTGTCTAAGATCTTTGGGGAGGGTGTTCCAGAGTCGGGGAGCCACCACGGAAAAGGCCCTGTCTCGCGTCCCCACCAAACGCGCTTGCGACGCAGGTGGGATCACGAGCAGGGCCTCTCCAGATGAACGGAGAGAGCGTGTGGGTTCGTTGATGGAGATGCGGTCACGCAGGTAGGCTGGTCCCAAACCGTTCAGGGCTTTGTAGGTAAGCACCTGCACCTTAAATTGGGCTCGGAAGATAAACGGCAGCCAATGGAGCTCCTTAAACAGGAGGGTTGACCTCTCTCTGTAAGGAGCGCCAGTTAACATCCTGGCTGCTGCTCGTTGGACCAGTTGGAATTTCTGAGCCGTTTTCAAGGGCAGCCCCACGTAGAGCGCATTACAGTAATCCAATCTAGAGGTGACCAAGGCATGGACCACTCTGGCCAGATCAGCCTTCACGAGGTACGGTCGCTGTTGGCGCATGAATCTTAATTGTGCGAAAGCCCCCCCAGACACCGCTGACACCTAGTAGACACATAAAAGGTTAATTTTATACAGTATTTGAAACCGAGTGTGTGCCTTGTTCCACTAGAAAGCAGAAGTGTCCCCGTCACAGCCACGCATGTGGACAATTGGAGGATTTTGGAGGATTTGAGTGTTCTGGGTAAGGGATGCTCTGTTTGCTTCTGAAGCTGCTCTTTCTGGCTGCTACTTGCTCCTTGCTGAGGAAGTCCACCTCTCTCATTGTCCCTCTCTTGAAATCTTAGAAGGAGCAGCACCACACGCGGAGGTTCCTATGGAAACAGAGTCAGGGAGCCACGGGGAGGAGAGCGCTGGGCCCGAAGCAGCCGACATGGAAGCCGGGGGGAGCTCAGCATCCGCGCCAGAGGAGGAGGAGAAGGAGAAAGAGAAGGAAGCGGGAAACGATGCACAGGCGCCTTCCAGGGATGCTCCCGCAGAAGACGACACACCTGCAGAAGCCAAAGAACCCGAGGCCAGAGCCCCATCCCCGGCTCAGGATCCTGGCCCACTTCCGGAAGCTGCTTCGGAAAGCGGTGGCAAAGCAGCCCCTGCTGAGCCTCCTGATGAAAAACCTGAGAAAGGTATTATTGATGCAGACGTGCCCCCTTCAATATCTCTAGTGCAGTGTTTCCCAACCTCCCGAATGCCGCGACCCCCTGAATACAGTTCCTCATGTTGTGTGGACCCCCAACCATAACATTATTTTCATTGCTACTTCATAACTGTCATTTTGCTATTGTTGTGAATCGTCATGTAAAATACCTGATAGGTATGCCCAAATTTGCCCACTATGCCCAAATTTGAATATTGTTGGGGCTGGGGGGGGGGATTGATTTTGTCATTTGGGAGTTGTAGTTGCTGGGATTTATAGTTCACCTACATTCCAAGAGCATTCTGAACCCCACCAACGATGGAATTGAACCAAACTTAGCACACAGAACTCCCATGACCAACATAAAACACTAGGAAGGGTTTAATAGGCGTTGACCTTAAGTTTGGGAGTTGTAGTTCACCTACATCCAGAGAGTACTGTGGATTCAGACAATGACAGATCTGGACCAATCTTGGCATTAATACTCAATATACCCAAATGTGAACACTGGTGAAGTTTGGGGAAAATAGACTTTGACATTTGGGAGTTGTTGTTGCTGGGATTTATAGTTATCAAAAACCATTTTGAACCCCACCAACGATAGAATTGGACCAAACTTCCCACACAGAACCCCCATGGCCCTGTGTTTTCTGAGGGGATGTCAGAGGCCACTCCTCCTCCTCCTCAGGGCTGACACCCATGCACTCATTTAAATGCCTGTTTGTTTAATAGATCTGGCCGGATCCGAATCCGAAGAGCCAGAGGCTAAACGCAGGAAAGTGGACTCTTCAGAGAAGCCCAAGGCCACAGGCCAGGGGAAAGGTAAGACCCGAGGAGCCCCTTGCGTGTCCTCAAACAGCAAAACATCCTCTTTCCTCCCTCACCAGATTTGGGTTTATCTGACTATTCAGCCAGAAAAGTGGGCTCTGGGTGGGCTGCCACTGTGCCAGGTCCGTTTGTGCATCATCTGTGTTGCTGTAAAAATACTCTTCACAAGCACGGCTGGCGGGGACGAGAGACAGGGCCTTCTCGGCGGTGGCTCCCCGGCTGTGGAACGCCCTTCCCACAGATATTAGATTAGCACCATCTCCAATGGTCTTCCGCAAGAAAGTAAAGACCTGGTTATTTGTGCAGGCGTTCGAATAATTAGTGCAAAGACTGGTAATGACATAGGAATGGAACAATGGATGACGAATTTGGATCATGTTTTTAGTGACGAGACGCCAGTGAATGGTTATCATAGTAATTGTGTATTAATTGTATATTAGATTAGGCTGTTAACTGCTTTATATTGGTGTTGAATTCTGCTGTGTTCTGTGTCTTGTGAACCGCTGTGAGTCGCCTTCGGGCTGAGAACAGCGGTATAGAAGCAAAGTAAATAAATAAATAAATTATTATTTGATGCACAACAAGACGAGCACACAGCAGACAAGATCCCAATGCTGGCTGTTGTATTGGATCACACATTGGACCCTTCCCAAGTGTCTAGGACAGTGTGATGTATCAGCAAATAATGCGTGCAGATCCGAGCAGGGTGGCCTTTTGCAGCTGGCAGGTGGTGATTTTGTCAGCGTGGATTGTATTTAAGTGCAAACCAAGGTCTGTAGGCGCTGCACCCAGTGTGCCAATCCCCATTGGGACCCCCTTTTGTGGCAGGCAGATGGTATTTGTGGCACAAGAATATATATAGGGCTTAAACTATATGTTTTAAATTGTTTTTATATTGTTTTATAATGTTGTTTTAAATGTTTTAACTGTATATATTGTGGAGTGCAATGGCATCGAATGGCTGCCAATCTGTAAACTGCCTTGAGTGGTTTTCGGGCTTGAGAAGGGCGTAAAAATATCGTAAATAATCTATATAAATAAAAATGTAATGTTCGTTTGTGGGATTAACAGAACTCAAAAAAGCACTGGACAAATTGACACCAAATTTGGACACAAGACACCTAACAACGCAATGTATGTCCTTCACTCAAAAAAAATTGAGTTTGTCATTTGGGAGTTGTCGTTGCTGGGATTTATAGTTCACCTACAATCAAAGAGCATTCTGAACCCCACCAATGATGGAATTGAACCAAACTTGGTACACAGTTCTCCCATGACCAACAGAAAATACTGGAAGGGTTTGGTGGGCAGTGTCCTTTGGTTTTGGAGTTGTAGTTCACCTACATCCAGAGATCACTGTGGACTCAAAATGATGGATCTGGACCAAACTCTACACGAATACTCAATATGCCCAAATGTGAACACTGGTGGAGTTTGGGGAAAATAGAATCTTGACATTTGGGAGTTGTAGTTGCTGGGATTTATAGTTCACCTACAATCAAAGAGCTTCTGAACCCCACCAACGATGGAATTGAACCAAACTTGGCACACAGTTCTCCCATGACCAACAGAAAATACTGGAAGGGTTTGGTGGGCAGTGTCCTTTGGTTTTGGAGTTGTAGTTCACCTACATCCAGAGATCACTGTGGACTCAAACAATGATGGATCTGGACCAAACTCTACACAAATACTCAATATGCCCAAACGTGAGCACTGGTGGAGTTTGGGGAAAATATAATCTTGACATTTGGGAGTTGTAGTTGCTGGGATTTATAGTTCACCTACAATCAAAGAGCATTCTGAACCCCACCAATGATGGAATTGGGCCAAACTTCCCACACAGAAACCCATGACCACCAGGGTGGGCCACAGCAGCACGTGGCAGGGGATGGCTAGTGAATAAATAAACCTATAATGCTGTAAATGACACAAATGCTGTGATGTCCCCTCTCTCCTGCACATTGGAGCCATTGATCTTTACTGCATGTTAATGAGACCTTTTGTTCTCCTTTCCCATTTATTTCCCTCTGTTGGGAGAGAATAAACAGGGGACGCCATATTTATTTGTTTGTTTATTTTATTTACATTACTTTTATCCCACCCATATCAGCCCGAAGGCGACTCAGTTTGAAACATGTACATAATAATAATAATAATAATAATAATAATAATAATAATAATAGTAATAATAATAATCTTTCCGCCCTTCTCACCCTGACTCAGGGGTCTCAGGGCGGAGCACAACCTATAGATGGCAAGCATGCCATGCAGGGACATAAAATAACTACAAATATACACAAAATCAGTTATATCTACTTTAAAATGAGCCTTTTAACCCCATCTCAGCTTAAGCGGCTGAGGGGGAAAAGGAAAGGGCCTGAGCCTGTGAGGAATGGTGGGAGTTGGAGTCCAAAACTCCTGGAGGGAAGGCCCAACTTGGCCCAGGCCTGCTGTATCTGCATTTTGCTGAACAGTGTGTTTGTCCCCTTTGATATCTCACATTTCAGGTCTAGACTTCCTGGTCCCGAAAGCCGGCTTCTTCTGCCAGATGTGTTCCTCCTTCTGCGTGGACGAGGCATCGATGAAAAGCCATTGTGAGACTGAGCTTCACCAGCAAAATATGGAGGTAGTGCCTTCTGACTTCCCCTTAAATCTCGAGAGCACGGTGTTTGTTAGTGGTTTCCTTTTTTGAACGCGTCCAGAGAGAGGGCTGCGTGCTTTTCGGGGTTTGAGGCAAAATTGGGGCCAGTAGCAAAGTGGAATGCCTCGTCACGGGTGGGCAACATTTCAGAGGATAGGGCACCACAACTGAAGAGAGATATTGACTCTAAGCTGGAATGTGTCCAGAGGAGGGCGACTCAAAGGATCAAGGGTCTGGAGAACAAGCCCTATGAGGAGCGGCTTAAGGAACTGGGCATGTTTAGCCTGAAGAAGAGAAGGCTGAGAGGAGATATGATAGCCATGTATAAATATGTGAGAGGAAGCCACAGGGAGGAGGAGGGAGCAAGCTTCCTTTCTGCTTCCCTGGAGACTAGGACGCAATGGAGCCATGGCTTCAAACTACAAGAGAGGAGATTCCATCTGAACACGAGGAAGAAATTCCTGACTGTGAGAGCCGTTCAGCAGTGGAACTCTCTGCCCCGGAGTGTGGTGGAGGCTCCTTCTTTGGAAGCTTTTAAACAGAGGCTGGATGGCCATCTGTCAGGGGTGCTTTGAATGCAATATTCCTGCTTCTTGGCAGAATGGGGTTGGACTGGATGATGGCCCAGGAGGTCTCTTCCAACTCTAGGATTCTAGGATTCTATGAGGCTGGATGGCCATCTGTCAGGGGTGATTTGAATGCAATATTCCTGCTTCTTGGCAGAATGGGGTTGGACTGGATGATGGCCCAAGAGGTCTCTTCCAACTCTAGGATTCTAGTGGCGCAGGTGTCTGAGTGTCAACTGCGTTAAGATCACTTCTGACCAAAAGGTCATGAGTTTGAAGCCAGCCCGGGTCGGAGTGAGCTTCTGACCAATTGTGTCACTTGTTGTCGACCTTTGCTCAGAGCATCTGTTGGCCTTTTCCCACCAAAGCGGTACCTTTTGGTCTACTCACATTTGCATGTTTTCGATCTGCTGAGTTGGCAGGAGGTAGGGCTAACAGCAGGAGCTCACCCCGTCACATGGATTTGAACCGCCAACCTTCAGGTCAGCAATTCAGCAGTACAATTTATTTAATTTCCCGTCGTGGTCAGCTGTGAATCGCACATATGGTTTATTCCTGCGCTCGCGCAGGCAGCGTGCAAATTCACAGGTGACCACTCGGAAAATTATGTTTACAGATAAACAACCTATATTGAATGTAGGCCTGCCTCGTTGCATTTGGACCGAGGTTGCAGGATGGGGGCCATTTCGTTGCTGGGAAATGCCTGGCTTCCTATTGGTTCCTGCCTTAAGTTGGCGCCTCCAAGTCTCTTCCACTCTTGAAAGAATACTTAGAAATATATGCATTGGAAAAGAAGTCTGAACACAGGTTTGCAACAATAACAAATGTATATACATTTTATATATGCATTTAAAACATATATGCATTTTAAATGAAAGATGAACATAGGTGGGCAATATATCTATCTATCTAAATAAAAGTGTAATGTTCGTTTGTGGGATTAACAGAACTCAAAAGCCACTGGATGAACTGACACCAAATTAGGACACAAGACACCCAACAAACCAATGTATGTCCTTCACTCAAAAAATTGATTTTGTCATTTGGGAGTTGTGGTTGCTGGGATTTATAGTTCACCTACAATCACAGAGCATTCTGAACTCCACCAATGATGGAATTGAACCAAACTTGGCACACAGTTCTCCCCTGACCAACAGAAAATACTGGAAGGGTTTGGTGGGGAATGTCCTTTGGTTTTGGAGTTATAGTTCACCTACATCCAGAGATGACTGTGGACTCAAACAATGATGGATCTGGACCAAACTGCACCAATACTCAATATGCCCAAATGTGAACACCCGTGGAGTTTAGGGGAAAATAGAATCTTGACATTTGGGAGTTGTAGTTGCTGGGATTTATAGTTCACCTACAATCACAGAGCATTCTGAACCCCACCAATGATGGAATTGGGCCAAACCTCCCACACAGAACCCCCATGTGGGCCACAGCAACACGTGGCAGGGGACGGCTAGTGTGTGTGTGTGTGTGTGTGTGTGTGTGTGTGTGAGAGAGAGAGAAAGAGAGAGAGTGTGTGTGTGTGTATACACACACATATATATATACATATTTATATATGCATTCATAAACATATTAGCATAGGTTTGCAATAAAAACAAATGTATGTGCATATACTGTATATATGCATTATATGTGTGTGTGTGTGTGTGTGTGTGTGTGTGTGTGTGTGTGTGTGTCAGGCATGTAGCCTGGGGGAGGAGGGGCTTCAGCCCCCTCCCACCCGAAATTCTCATGGTGGTCCGCTAGAAGGCCTTACTGGTACATTATTTAAACTGTTATGTTTATTCATATCATGATCTGATAACCATGTTCAATATATCCCATATGCATGGGGGTATTGGGGTAACGATACAAAAGGTTTGCTAGGGTAGACCCTCTTTCACTCAGACTCAGCCCCCCCCGAAACTCAGCCCCCCCGAAACCCCCCCTGAATTTAAAACAGGTCTGTGTGTGTGTGTGTGTGTGTAAAAAGAAATCTGAACACAGTTTGCAATAAAAACAAATGTATATGCATATATATGTGTGTGTGTGTGTGTGTGCATTCTATATATATGTATGTATATATGTATGATTCTATGAATAGTTTTCTAGCATCAAACTTACCAGTTTAGTGCCTTTCCCTGTTCCTCCCAGTAACTTCCAGGAGAAAGCCAAATGGTGCCAATTGCAATACAATAAATGGATGTTCCCAAGTCTCGTCCACTTTTGGAGCCAAATAGGAAAAACACAGTCCCCAAACTCTTCCTCTTCACCCAGACGCATGTGTAAGAAATCTCTCAAATTTGCTGCCTGTGTTGTTTTTATGTCTTTCTTCAGAAATTCATGAAGAGCAGCTCTGCGGAGGAGAAGGTGGAGAAGGCGGGAGGAGGAGGAAAGGAGGCCGAGAAGCCAAGCTCGGCATGACGTCGCCTCCCCGGGTGTTCTTTTAGGGTCCAGTCCGCTCCGTGTCCTTTGTTTCATGTTTTAGCCGTGTTTCTTTTTGCAGGCTGCCGCGTCGTGTGCGCCTCTTTCCCCTTGGAGGCCAAAACAGAAGTCAGTTGTCTGAGGAGGATTTTTGGTTGCCCTTTGCAAGGAGGCTGGAAATGTTTTAAGTAAAGGTTCTTAATTGTACAGTTCGCTCTCCTGTCTCTGGTTTTTGTCTCATCAAAAGTTTTCATAGCCAGAATCACTGGGTTGCTGTAAGATTGTCTGGCCATGTTCCAGAAGCATTCTCTCCTGACGTTTCACCCACATCTATGGCAGGCATCCTCAGAAGTTGTGAGGTCTGTTGGAAACTAAGCAAGTGGGGTATATATATTGTTCTGTCGCGCGCTGGGCTTGAAATGAATTGCCTTTAAAACAGGACGTGCAGCCCAGCGGGAAGTCAGGGGGCCCGAAGAGAAAATCTTAAGGATTTGCACCATAAACAGTCTCTAGAGGACTTGTGAAATATAACAAAGTCTTTTATTGGTGAACAATCAACAGAAACTTCTTTTGTCTTCAAAGGGTTAAACAAATGCTTCCAGGCTTTTGTGCAACTGGTGGCTTTTAACTGTTACTTTTACTCTAAAGGAAAATTCATTTCCAAACTTCTCCCATACTAACTGTGAACCTAAACCTAACTGATGTGGGCACCACTACCGGGTTGAACTGCGTCTCAAAGCACCGAGTGCACCTACCAGTAGGCCTGTAGTCACTTCAGCTGGCGTTCTTAGATATTCAAAGCTGTTTTTCCCTCTGAAATTCCTCAGAGCTTTAGGGCTGTTTCCCTGGGAATCTTTGGGAATCTGTTCTCCCCCGGGAAGTCTTAAGGGTTGAAGCCTTTGTACAGGAGAAAGTCTGTACATGTCTAGTACATTGACTTTCCTTGCTGAGACTGACTGAAAATGGCTCCCTTCCCTTCTCAATTGTCCTGAACAGGGGGCGGAACCAAACTTAACGATGATGGACAGGTGGCCTGCCCTATAACTGCAAACTTTAACAGGAAGCCACCCTTCTGCAGAATCCCAAGTCGGGCTGTAAGCAAACACTTAATCCAAGGCAAACAAAGTGAGAGCTTCTGGTACAGCTGTACCAGCATGTGTGTGTGTGTGTGTGTGTGTGTATATATATATATACACATACACATATACACACACACACACACACGCAGAATGATGTTCAGGGAGGAAAAATTATTTATTTACTTATTTACTTACTTATTTCATTTATATACCGCTTTTCTCAGCGCTTGGCCGACTCAAAGCGGTTAACAATAGCAAAATTCAATGCTCAACATCATAAAAAGAGTTAAAAACAATGATATAATAAACAATCAGTTAAACATAACTATAACATCTCATTAGCTGCCTGTGTTGTTCGAGGGAAGTGTGGATGCTGCCATTGGCCAGCTTGATTAGCCTTTGAATAGCCTTGCAGCTTCAAAGTCTGGCTGCTTCCTGCCTGAGGGAATCCTTTCAAACATTCAGTGCCTTTCCATCTCTGATGTCTGGAGGCGATGCTCAACTCTGGCCATGGGGAGATTCTCTTGTCCGTAGACCCTCCTGGTCGCATTTGCCAGCATGGCTGCATGGGCACCTTTTACCATCCCGCCAAGGTGGTACCTATTGATCTAACCCTATTGCATGTTTTAGAACTGCTAGGTAGGCAGAAGCTAGGGCTGACAGGAGTTCTTTCCCTAAGAACAATGCCAAGGATCAGATTTGTGTTTTCCATGCAGCAGAACCTGACTCCCTGCACAAAATCCAAGACTCCAAAAGCGCCCTTCTTCCTTTTCCCTTGAGAAAGAAGCCCCAAATTGACCAGGCTGCTCCCGTGCAAATCTGCCACTCTCCTTACGTCCACTATCTCTCACCTTCCCATGGAGCAGAGCATGGCGGGTGGAACAGACTCCTCAGGTCTGCCACACTTTGAGCATTATTAGACCGAGTCTTTTATAGGAATGTTCTGTTGGTGTAGTCCCAAAGTTGTAAATTAATGATAGACATCTTCCATCCTGGATCCATCTCAGTTTCATGGCCAGATGTTGATCTTCTTGATTGGTGTTGATCTTATGTTGACTTCCTTCTTAATAATAATATTTATTTATTTATTTATTTATACTCCACCACCATCTCCCCAAGGGGGTTCGAGGTGGCTTACATGAGGCCAAGCCCAGACAACATATTACAGCAAAATAAAACCAAAACATAAGCAACGAGCAACAATATCATAATTACATAAAACATGAATACAACATAAGATAACAGTAAAATATGAAGAAATAAAATAAATACAAGAAACAATATAAATAAACACATCAAACAATATAATAGAACACAAATAAATAATTGAACACAAAAAATAACATAAGAATGTTGCAAACATTTCCTTAACTTGAAATAATCATTGTCACACTTATTTATTTATTTATTTACCTTGCTTATATACCGCTGTTCTCAGCCCGAAGGCTATTATTTCTTCTTATCACAGTTTACTTTTCAGCTCTTATTAGCAGGTTTTAATTGCGGTCCAGCAAGCAGGTAGTTAGTCATTGCAGGCCTTAATATTATATTTATTATTTATTTATTTACAACATTGATATGCCGCCCTTCTCACCTCGAGTGGGACTCAGAGCGGCTTACAAGGTATATATACATACAATATATTATATTAACAAAGTACAATATCAGTATTAAATATTTGTGGATCAATAATTGGTTCAATGGACGAACCCAGAGGGTGATTCTCCCCAATGCTTCCTCCTCTTCATCCTGGAAAGAAGTGACGAGCGGAGTGCCATCAGGAGGGTCCCATCCTGGCCCCCCCGGTCCTGCTCAGGATCTTCATTCATGACTTAGATGAAGGGCTAGAAGGCAGGATCATCAAGTTTGCAGACGACACCAAAATTGGGAGGGATAGCCAAGACTCCAGAGGACAGGAGCAGGATTCAAAACGATCTTGACAGATTAGAGAGATGGGCCAAAACTAACAAAATGAAGTTCAACAGTGACAAATGCAAGATACTCCACTTTGGCAGGAAAAAAAAATGCAAAGATACAGAATGGGGGACAATGCCTGGCTCGAGAGCAGTACGTGTGAAAAAGATCTTGGAGTCCTCGTGGACAGGAAGTCAAACATGAGCCAGGAATGTGATGTGGCGGCAAAAAAAGCCAATGGGATTTTGGCCTGCATCAATAGGAGTATAGTGTCTAGGTCCAGGGAAGTCATGCTCCCCATGCTCTATTCTGCCTTGGTCAGACCACACCTGGAATATTGTGTCCAATTCTGGGCACCACAACTCAAGAGAGATATTCACTCTAAGCTGGAATGTGTCCAGAGGAGGGCGACTCAAATGATCAAGGGTCTGGAGAACAAGCCCTATGAGGAGTGGCTTAAGGAGCTAGGCATGTTTAGCCTGAAGAAGAGAAGGCTGAGAGGAGAGATATGATAGCCATGTATAAATATGTGAGAAAGCTTCCTTTCTGCTTCCTTGCAGACTAGGATGCAATGGAGCAATGGCTTCAAACTACAAGAGAGGAGATAACATCTGAACATAAGGAAGAACTTCCTGACTGTGAAGTTGTTCAGCAGTGGAACTCTCTGCCCCGGAGTGTGGTGGAGGCTCCTTCTTTTAAACAGAGGCTGGATGGCCATCTGTCAGGGGTGATTTGAATGCAACATTCCTGCTTCTTGGCAGAATGGGGTTGGACTGGATGGCCCAGGAGGTCTCTTCCAACTCTTTGATTCTAGGATTCTAGGATTTCTGTATTGTACTATACCATTATATTGTAATATTATTAGTAATATTACATGTAATATAAATATATAATTATAGTATTATGTTATTATTATTACTAGTATTGCATTACATAATATTTCCCATCGTGGTCAACTGTGAATCGCACATATGGTAGTTTCTGGTGTCTCCAAAATTATTAGCTCCATCCATACATTCATCTTCCATTCTTCCATTCATTCCCACGCATCATTAATAAATCCACATTTATCAAATCTGCATATTAAATATTTGTGACACATTGGCTTATATTCAGGTCGGCTTATATTGAGTATATACATTAAATATAATGAATCATAATGATAGCTGTATTCTGCAACAATAGAAGGTGCCCCTGCAACAATAGAAGGTGCCCCTCCTACTGGCTATTTATACTATATGGGAGAATGGGCGGGGCTACCGCCAAAAATCATCTTTTGAATTCCAGAAAGTTCCAAAACTGTCCGCGCAGGCACAGAAACCCATATATTTCCCCTGGCTGGACAAGGGGGGAGGGGTGAACCTCACTCAACTCTGTCCGCCAGGTTATTCTGTGCAGCACCAACCAAGACCTGGGGGGCAGGGAGGCGGAGTCACTGTGGTCTATAAGGATTTTATCTCCCTGATCAGGTGCCCCATCCCACAGTCATCCTCCTTTGAGTGTATCGGCATTAGGATTGGTGACCGGGACAGGATAGGGATTCTGTTAGTGTACCGACCACCCCGCTGCACAGCAGTCTCCCTACCTGAGCTAGCAGGGGTGGTCTCGGAGATGGCTTTGAACTCCCAGCAGCTTTTAGTCCTGGGAGATTTCAATGTTCATGCTGAGCCCCCCCCCCCAATCAGGTGGACTTGGTTTTTTGCCAGGGATGGGATGAAGGTGACGAGGTGGAGGAGCTGACCATCGCTCCATTGCCATGAACCGATCACCACCTGATCAGGTTTAGACTCACTGTGCCTCTCACCCTCCGCAAGGGTGGTGGACCTATTAGAATGGTCCGCCCCAAGAGACTTATGGATCCAAATGGTTTCTTGATGGCTCTTGGGGAGTTTCCCACCTCCTTGGCTAGTGACTCTGTCGATACTCTGGTCTCTCACTGGGATAGTGAGATGACTAAGGCAATTGATACAATCGCTCCGGAGCGCCCCCTCTCGAGCGATTACTTGTTTTAACTAGTAATAACTCTTGATGTTAAATTGTAAAATGTATATTGTATTTTGTGAATTGTTGGGCATCGAATTGTGCCTTTTGTAAGCCGCCCTGAGCCCCCCCTAGGGGGTTGAGAAGGGCGGGGTAGAAGCACTCCAAATAAATAAATAAATGTGTGGATTTCACAGGTACCACTAGAGGAAATGCGGTTACAGGTAAGCAACC